AACTCCCAGAATTCCCCAGCCAGCAAGGTTTAAGATGGGTGGACTTCCACTCCCGTCTTCTTCCTGACTCACCCATATTTTCTCTGCTGTAATTGCAGCTCGTCCTGACGATGCCTCCGCTGGAGACTGTCGGTGTCGTCTGAAGGTATGTGAGCTGTCGACGAAAAAGGAAGGGAAAAAAAAAAATCAGAAGGAACAACAAGGTATTTTTTTCTCCTTTTCTCGTCTTTTTGGCCGGGAGCCAAATTCTCACGCAGTTTTCTTTAGCGAGATTTATTGAAAGGAGAAGGAAGGGCACCTGGCGGAGGGAGGCTTTTGGGCTCCCTTCCTGGGAGTCAGGATAAAGGGAGAAGCAGGCAAAGGCAGGATATGGGAGGACTTACGAGAGAGGATGTTTTGTAGTTCAGGTGTCAGGCCTCCTGCGCCACCCCTTTTGTTTAATTATGAGAGTTGGCTTGCTGTCAGGATTCCAACCATCGCCCTAATTAAATCGTGATTCTCGAGCCAAACTTCAAGAAACTTCAAAGGATTCATTAGAGGAGACATACTGGCACTGTACGAAGCCAACTCTGGCATACGCCATTTACACATCACCTGTGATACTGTTCTCCCCCCGCCCATCCCTCCTGGGTGTCTCATAAACCAGATTCTCCAATTAAGCACTTTCGCGGGCTGGGTGTCATCAATCACGTCCTCCAATTAAATATATTCACGGGCAAAAGCTCTGGTAGTTCAGTTACAATCTTTTAAAGATAAGAGTTGGAATGTACTTTCGCTTTGCTGCACTGCTATTCCAGATTTCCTTCCTTCCCCCTCTCCCCCCGTCCTGTTTTTTTTTTATTATTATGGCATCTACTAAAACAGGCCTAGGAATGTTTTATGAGTTGACATCGGGGTTGAACTGGGGGCTCCTTGGCGCTCTCTGAGCTTGCAAACGTTTCATGACCCACCTAGGTAACATCATCAGTGCTAGAAGGGAAGGGAGGAGGGCAGGGGTGGGATTCAAAAAAAATCCCAACCAACGGTTCTCTGCCTGGTTGCTGGGTGGGCGTGGCCATGGTGGGCGTGGCCTACTGGAACTTCCGGGAAGGCCGTTTTGCGCCTTCCCCAGGCTCAGGAGGCTTCCCTCGGGCCTCTGGGAGGGCGAAAATGGCCTCCCCTGGGCTCCAGAGTCCCCCCAGAAGCCTGGAAACAGGCCCATTTCTGGACTTCTGGTTCAATTCTGGGAGTTTTTCACCCTCGCAGAGCCTCCACGCGGACCCTGCACTTACCTGCATCCAAAATGGGCCACGCAGAGACTCTTGGGAGGGGTGGGATGGGTGGGGCCAGCCGGTCAGTTCAGCTACTGGTTCGATGAACCAGATGTAAACGTAACATCCGGTTTTCCACAAACTGGCGCAAACCGGCTGAATCCCACGCCTGGAGAAGGAGCGGGATTGTGAGGTTCTTGGCGCTCTCTGAGTTGGACTGCTTTCTGGCAGACGTTTCACGGTCCGACTAGGTTACATTATCAGGGCTAAAAGGGAGGAGGGTTTTTCAGAAAGGAGGAGGGGGAGGAGGAGGAAGAGGAGGACTGCGGGGTCCTTGGTGCTCTCTGAGCTGGGTGGTTTTCTTGCAGACGTTTCATGACCCAACTAGGGAATATCATCAGTGCTAGAAGGGAGTAGGGTTGGAGGAGGAGGAGGAGGAGGAGGAGGAGGAGGAGGAGGAAGGAAGGAAGGAAGGAAGGAAGGAAGGAAGGAAGGAAGGAAGGAAGGAAGGAAGGAAGGAAGGAAGGAAGGAAGGAAGGAAGGAAGGGGAAGAGGAGGAGGACTGTGGGGTCCTGGGTGCTCTCTGAGCTGGGTGGTTTTCTTGCAGAC